CCTAAAAAAAAGTCTTATATTTTTACTGCCGTCATTATTAGGAATTCGAATAAAGTTTAACGATCGCATATTAAAAAAAAAACAAAAAAAAGAAAAAAAAGGAAAGAAAGAAAGAAAGAAAAAAAGGAAGAAATATAAATAGATTTTTTTTTTTAAACGTTCACATCACAGACCCCGTGTAGTATAAACCGCGCGCATTACACGTTCTCTTCTCCCCATTTTTTGTTCACGATTTACAATGTTTTTTTTTTTTTATTTTTTTCTATTAATTAAATACTAAAATCACGAGAGATTATATTTATTAGCTTTAATGTGTGTTCGTATCGAGAAATATCTTTTTCTTTTTTTTTTTATAGAAGATTTATTTCTTCTTCGATGATTATAATACATGTGTGTGTATATATATTTTTTTTTCCCCTTTTTCTTTTCTATCTAAGATTATATTTATACGCAAAAATTCAATAACATTTTAACTAATTAAAAAAAAAAAGAATAGGAACACAAATTCGGAGAGAAAGTAAAAAACGTTGGTTATATATTTTTTTTTCTCTCTATAAGTATATTTTATAATGGGAAAGTATATTTTTTTTTTAATTCAACAGAGATAATTTTATTCTTAAGTCAATTTTCTAATAAGATATACTTGAAGGATAATTATTAATGTGAATTTTTGGTTAAAACTATATTTCTAGTTCGGTCAAAGTATTATTAAAGAGCAATATATATAATTTCAATGATACTTTCTTCTTGTATATATATTTTTTTTTTCTTTTTTTTTTTCTCTTCTTCAATATTCATTAAAAATTCGTATCGATAAATTTGTCTGTATAATTATTTTCTTCTTCTTATTATTCTTCTTCTTCTTCATTATTTGTTCTGTTCAAATTTGTACGAACGTTTTTTTTATATCTCATCTTTTTCTTTCTTTCTTTCTTTCTTTCTTCTTTTCTATAATAAATTTAAAACGTAATCCGCATTCACACATCTCACATTGCAACGATGATGATGATGGTAATGATGATGGTAATGATGATGAATGATGATGATGACGATAATCACAGTATGATGAAGAAACGCTAAATGAAATCTCGGTGAGATGTAATATTAAGTCTTGTGCAATGGTTTGCGTTGTTGTTCGTTTCGTTTTATTTCGATTCGACGACGAAGAGGAGACGACGACGACGACGACGACGATGCTGTCCGAAAATATCAACGATGGCAACGACGATAACAAGATGACGATTATGACGACGACGACGACGACGACGATGATGATGATGATAATATTTTAACGATGAATTCACGAGGTTGCCCTAAGCTTTTCCAAAGCTGGTACCAAAGATTCTTCAACTGAAGGTCCACAACATAGACCACATTCACCGTCCCATCTTGCTTTACCACTTGCATGAGACTACAAACAATAAAATAATTGTAATTATAATAACTTAACAATGAATACAATTCTATATGTTTAACATGTTAAGTGGCCAAGCTAATTAATTTCTAAGGATCAATCTTTACAATTGAAATTTTCATTAATAATATCGGGAGGGTCCTTTTGTATATTAACCATGAAATTGAACATATTTTATATGAGATATTGATTTTTTGTTCAATCAAAACCTTTCAGGAAAGTAATTGTAAATATTTAATGAAAATTTAATAGTCATTTATCTTCGCTTTTGGTTGCTTTGTTCATAGTTTACGCATTACAGATGACCGTACTCTGCTTAATGGCAAAATATAGCACGAACAGAACACACCAAGTAAAATAAACTTAGCGCAGACACTTAACGTGTTAATAAAATGAGAAAAGGAAAATGGGAAATAGATTTTTCTTTTACCATAGTAAGATCACGTTTCCATTCCTTATGACAACGTCCATCGCAAAGCGGACAAGGTCGTTGAAGAGAATAACCTCCGCATTCGCTGCAATCCAGAGAAACGTGGTCCTGACTCCAAGAGACCCCGCATCTAAAAAAATATAACAAATATTTTTGTTAGTTGAAATAATAAATGGAGATAACAAATATACAAATAGCTAATAAAATATGGTACCACTTTATTTTCATCATATAAAAACAATTGCAATAGCTTGTTGTTTACATACCTACGCAAAAACTTATTGTGCAATGTATTCTGACAAATAAGGAAACAACACATTGCTTAATTTGTTATTTTATTATATTTTAATGAGAGTATCGTATCCCCCATTAAAATAATATTTTTCGAAATACGATTGGTACACACATACACACAATTTTTTAGTGGTACTTCATTTTTCTGTCTCCCTTGAGATCATTAATAATCAATTACTCACGTAAAGCATGAATTCAATTGAGCACGGAGTTCTTCTATAGTTAGAATCGTGTCTTGATATTGCGGATGCGAACCCTGGAGATTGCTATCCACGCTTTCGCATAAACTGTGACAAGAGAGAGAAATGTTGCTTCTGTTGAAAAAAAAAAAAGAAAAAGAAAATTATTTTATATCTTTTTGTTCTTTTAAGTTAGAATAACATTATCCTTAACCATCACATGCAAAATAAGATATAAAAAAATAATGATTAATTAATGAAATTCATGAAAATTTACCCATGACGTGACAGACTTTCGGAAGCTGGTTGAACCGAAGTGACAGACATGTTGTTTTGATATGTTGCTGCTACTGTAACATAAAAAAAGATGAACACCGTTAAAACTAAACATTTATTCCAATCGACTTGTAAAATGGGAACACGATTCTTGGCGGGGAGTAGTATAGAGTATGAGGTCATTTATTTAAAAATAAATTACCAAACTGTGGTGTGTAGACGACGACCTGATTTTATCAACACACGACAACGAACGTATATATATTTAAACATTCAATCAAATCGAATCACAACAAAAGTATTAAAAAGTACATTTGAAAAAGTCCGCCATTAAGCAATCGCTTCCTGATTGGTTACTTCCCTCCCCACTCTACAACTTTTCAAATTTAAATTTCCCACAGTCAGACATTTTGTTTTTTTCTTCTTCTTCTTCTTCTCATAATGTGAAAAAGAAAACAATGGGATTATTGTGTTTCACAAACGGGGCTTATAATAATACTTGTTATTAAAACGATTAGGATCGTAAGACGCAATTTAATGCAAACACACGTAATAATATATCTTATGCAACGAATTTATTTTTCTGTGAACGAATAAAAGAAGAAGAAGAAGAAGGAGGAGAAGGGAAAAGATGCACGACACACAATGATGTGTGACGAGGAGGAGGGTCAACGACGTAAAATACGTAAGCGTTATCATCGATAAAACAAGGAAAGAACCACGATGACGTACTTCTGACGCAGTATGTCAACTCTCATATGTTTCTTCTAATATTCAGCTGAAAATAGCGACTATAAGAAAAAGAAAGAAGGAAGATATGACCCATATATATATATATATATATATGGTGGGGAAAAGAAGCTTACGTATTTTCTCTAATAATATTAACGAATCATTGAAAATAAGTTTGATTCTTCGAAGTTGATTCGTCAATGAAACTTAATAGTTTTCTAAGAATGATTTTATTTATAAGAAAATTATAAAACGTTGTACTAAATTTAGTATCATAAATTGCATCTAATACGTAAGATATTATAAGTCATAGATATATATAATACGTGAAACAAACAATTTTATTTTTTAATAAACAAGAAATATTCAATATACTTTATTAGAGAATATCGTTGTCAAAAAATAAATTATTATCGTTATTAGATAACTTTCAATTACATTTTATCACAAAATGTTTCTTAATAATTAAAAAATCAAATAATAATAATAATAATACTTATTGTGTTTAACGTAATCATTTGTAAAGTTAATTAACAAAATATGATAGAATGGCAAGCTTGGTGTCGATAATGAAAAAAAACAAAACAAAATAATAATATTACGAAAGAATTAGTCGAATTAAGTCGATTATGCTAAAGGATACTAAATAATAAAAGAAGAAAAAAACAAAACAGATAAATAGTATCGATAAATGGAAAATTCGGATTATAATTTAAAAATAAAATCTTTTCGACACAAATTCTATTTGTTAAAAAAAAAACAAAACACAAAATAATAATAATATGAAATAATTAAAAAGGTTAATTCGAATTAAAACGATTATTCACTGTAAAAAGGATGTAAATAAAAGAACAGAAATACGGTCGATAAAGAAGAACACAATTGGCACGATTTCGTATGATAAAAAGAGAGAGAATTCAAAAATACACGTGTTGGTAGTACGTTTATGTAATTTTATGTAAGAACGTAATTATGTAGTTAGAAAGGATATCACGTAACATGTATATATATATATATATATATATATATATATATACATATATGATCGATTGAAACGAATTTACAAACTCTTTTACATGCAATAATCAGAAAAATTGTCACAAGATAGTACTGTTGCCATTCATCACGAAAGATATATAGATAAAATATAATCAAATGTGTGTGGTGCCTGGTACGAATGAGAACCGGTCGATCAATCTTTTCTTTTTTTTTGTTCTCGTGTAAATCACGTGATTTTATAAACACAACACATCGAACAACAATTCATATAATTCGGGAAAAAAAAATCTATGATTAATAATCATTTCCATTGAATTTATCTTCCCAACACACACATTATTCGATTTTATTATCATTAATATATTATATACACGTATATGGCGTGTGTGCATGTGTGGTATATGTGCGTGTGCACACACACATTACGTATAATGAATAATTGAAAGTAAAAAAAAAAGAAAAATAAAATAGAAAGGTCAAATACGTAATATATTGTTAAATTATAAGAGACAACGATGGTTCGTTATCTTTAATTACGATCAATGCATAACGGTTGATTTATGTCCACAAACAGTTCGATGAAGAATTAGAGAGTCAGAGATTCGAATGGTGGAAAAGTGGTGGTGGTGGGGGAAAGGATTTGAACATCAAATCCGGAAAACGGAAGGAAGGACCAAGCTGAAGTTGGCTGCGATGTATAATACGAGTCCTAAAGTATTGATCGAATCATCTAGAATGTGTGTGTGTGTAGTGGAAATGCGTCGTCGTAAAAATGAATATAAATTATGCAAATAACATTTTTATTCTTTGACAGAGGATTTTAATCGGGATTTATTATTACTGACGTCAATTTTTGTTCATGTTAAACGAAAGTATGTTGTATAATTAGGTAAGAAAGACAAAGAAGGACAGCAGAGAGAGAGAGAGAGAGAGAGAGAGAGAGAGAGAGAGAGAGAGAGAGAGAAAGAAAGAAAGAAAAGGGGAAGAAGGAGGATAGAGAGAAAGAAAAAGAAAAAAATTCAAGAGGGACACCGAGGTGAAAGCAAACGAAAATGGCGTCCTTCGAGAGTGGTATCGTTCTCACGACGACGATACAACGACAACTTCAACATGAAATGGGGTTTCTTGCAAATCCAACTTTCTAATTCTCTTTCTCTTCCTCTCTCTCTCTGTTTTATGTACACATAGCAACACCTATATAAACGTTTCATTAATATTATAACTAATATCTATCACGCTTTAATAATAAAAATAATAATAATAATAATAAAATAAAATAATCTTAATCTTTTTTTCTTTTTCATCTAAATACAATAAAAAGAAAAAAAACCCAAAAATATTTTCCAATAAAATATATTTATATATATATAAATAAATGAAAAATAATATATATGTATATATATATATATAAACTTACGTATAAGAAATATTCCTTAGAAAAAACGTTGAAATAATAACCAATGGCAGTTAACTTTTTATTCCAAGATATAATAAAATTCCACGAAAGGATGCGAGACTGCGACTGCTGCTGTTATTCTCGAGTTCGTGGAATTGAAATTTGTGCACGCGAGAGAGATAGGATTTACGGTTAGAGAGAATATATATTATTATTCTCGAAATTCAAATCGTACGAACGTAGGATTAGAAATAGTATAACGGACGAGAGCTAAACGTTTTCTTAGATACGTGTACACACTTCGATACGTTCGAGAGTAGACTAAGAGTCCGACGATTACTCGGAGTACTTTTATAACCTGCGGTGTGTACATCGGATGAGATTGTAGGGGAAGAAAGAGAGAAGGGAGGGGGAAAGTGTGGGTAGAATAAAAGAGCACGAGGAGTGGGGGAAACCGAATGGAAAGAAGGCTGCTTGCCGTTCAAGTGGGCTACCGTGGTAGTGGTGGTGGGGGGAGAGGAATGGAGGGAAGGAAATTGCGGGGACTACCCTCTCCCTACTCCCACCCACCTATCACAATCACCCGTTTCCAGTACCGTCCCTTCGCGCCAACGTGCCCCTCGCTTCCTTTTTTCTTCTTTTATTTATTCTTTTGACTCGCGAATACCCAACCTGTAGTACGAAATAGAAAAACGTATTGTTTCCATTTTATATATGTATACTTTTATATATATATAATAGAAAATGCGCGTTTCGCGGTTATTCTCATATATTTCCTGTTAAAAGAATTTATTATCCCCGTCCGTCGTTATTCATCATCATTACTACTATTATAGCAGAATAAACTGGATCGATCGAGAAATTAATTATATTATCGCGACACGTAAAATAAGAAGAAAAAAAAAAAAGAATTAGATGAGTTATAAAACTCGTAGCAGTCGTTTTACATCGTTCGATGTCCTACCAAGTGATCTGTTAGAGTGTGTCAAAG